GATGTGGTTAATTAAATTGGCTTAATGTAGTAACATGATAAATTACTTACAAAAATTAAATATGTAATAAAAATTTAGAGAGGCCATTACTTTATAAAACATATACATTTGGTGTACAAGAATGGATTCTAAATTAAATGTAGTTTTCAGCTTTTGCAGTGTTGCTTATTTTCTTATAAGAGCCAGATAAACTTTTTAATGTTCACTTTATTCTTGGAAATTTTTTTCTTAATGTAAGCTTTTTGCTCTAATTTGGGAAAATTATTTTCAGAACCTGAACTTTTTTTTTTTTGGAATTCAACAATGGTTGTTATTTTTTTTTAGTAGGGCAGTTTCTATAATTAATACATTGCATATTGTTGTCTTCTTACTGGTTATTCATAGTAGAAGATGCAGACACAATATACTGACCACAAACACTATTAGAACAAATATTTCTATTTATTGAATTAAGAGAAAGTAGCTATTTATCTATCCTATTTTGAATATACAGATACAAAATGGTCCTTCATTTGTATCCCCTTTTTTTGTAGTTTTGTCAGAGAAGGGTATTCCATTGTCATTTAAATATTGTAGGTGGGTGAATTCTGCAAAACATTTCAATATAGTCCAGTAGTCCATAATAGTATTGGATTATCCATAGGACTGGCATTGTCAGAAGTTGTTGACTTGAGGCTTTTACAGTTCAGAATATTAATATGGCTTTACATTTTATACTTCATTTTTATACTTTTCCACTGGATGGTTAAGACCAAGATAAAGCAAGACCTATAAGACAAGAAATGTAACTTTTGTATCTGACAAGGTCAGTCAAATCACCTCTGGATTTATCCTGAAACCCTGTACTGCCATTTGTCAGTGTCAGCCATGTGGATGAGTCACAGCCATTGTTTGGCCAATTTGCTCTCCTTTCTCTCTAATTTTTGGTTTGCAAACTTAGGTTGTTAACCCTCCAGAAGAGAAGCTTATTATTATTACCCTACAACATAGGCAGTTGAGCTTAACCTCATTATTTGTCTGAATATTGAACATGGAACAGGCCTTTTCCATCAAATATTAATATGTTAAACTTTAAGTCCCTACAGAATATGAAGAAAAAATTTAAAAA